ATAACACTTGCCTCGGCGCCTTTTTTCCTAATTCTGAACCTTCTAAATCATTGTTAGTTACAAAATCGGCATTCATTCCGGCCTATCCTCACATCCTTCTATTTACTGAGCCTTGAAGCCCACCGTGCCAAAGGCCAACCGATTAGCATTCCAAGGACAGGTGTCGCGCCCGCCTGAATTCGTTGACAGCAGTGTCAAGGTCTCCCAATGCCTCGTGACGTCTGTGCCATCTGGCGCTTGGAGTGCGAGTGGCGCTAACTTAGCGAGACATCAACACTTGGTGTTGTTAAAACTAATGTTTCACATTTTAAGATATTAGGCAAGCATCAGATACGATAAAATGATCACTAATAACTACTGGCATGCTTTTAGGTGGAAAAAACGGTTCTTGACACCACAATTTCTTTCTTTGGCACATCTGCTTCTCCATACTTCCTTGTTTACGTCATCGTACCTTGCACAGCATTGATGGAAAGTGAATTGACGGCGGTTGTATCTGGAAATTGTGGTCACGAAGGCCAGATGTGAACGACTCCACCGTTATATTTTCCTCAGCCTTGATTTCCGCATGACTTATGAAATTGCAGGATTTGAGTGACGTTATTATGACGCCATGAGTGCCAATGTGAGTTTGAAATACTCTCCTCAAAATACTCTCCCGAAATTTTCTCCCCATTTGCGCGGTCGTGAAGCCTAGAAACTAGAGGGGTTTAGGTCTTTAGCAAGACAGGGCTATGAATTGCATCGAAAAGTCAAGATGGCTATTTCATTTCAAAACTCTGCTTAAAGGGAGTGGAACATTCTCTCTAACCAGGCTCTGCAAAGGTCACCGAGGACCTGGCCTTTCTCAAGCATTTTCTTGGCACCCTCACCGCCAAGGGTCAGAAGAGATGCTGCGCACGTGATTTAAAATCACACCATGGTTTGTGCGATAGCTGCGGGTCAGTTTGTAGCATTAACGCCGTTGACGAGCTTGGTATCAAGTTTTTGCTAGGCTGAGATGATGGGCATTGGAAACTTTGAGAGAAAAGGTGCCCTAAATGTTGCAAGGGAATATAGCCAGACTTACAATAAACCTACCTCCTAAGCGGTTTGGGACATACGGGCTGCGAATTGGGCGGGCATATGCAACGAGGTGAGAGAAAGCTGTAGCTAACCTTTCAAAAAATATATGTATAGGTAAGTACGCACAGCTGTTGTTCGTGCAACAACAAAAAATTGCAATAATACCAGCAAAACAAGGACGGGGTTCGACAAACACAGCAACTTTTGGAAGCAGTGGAACAACGTTAGTTATTTTTCATCGGCAAGCCACGCGAGCTTTTAATCTTCGTGCCCAAAACACGCACTGAATAGCGTTGGTATTCACCACACTCTCCGCCACCAAGTTAGCTACTGAATTAACACTTCCGTGCGTCAGAATAATCATCGCCAAAAAGGAGAAGCCAAAAACCAACCACTGCAAATTTCTCTGAAATACTCACACATATTTCGTCATGCCAAGCGAAACTAATGCAAACAGCCCAAAAAGACGACATCTGCCAAATGTATATGGTCAACGCCACAATATCTTTCATTTTTCCAGCGCATAAGTCTGAAATGCATGGCTGACTGTTGTATGCAGATTCTTCTTCCGGCATATAAATTCTGCTTATAGCCTTTGATGAAAATCCAATTAATTATCACATAGTTTACTGATACAGCGAATGTACCATCTCATTAGCACAATGTCTTACTGGTGTGTTGAGTTAATGGTCGATGGCATCATATGCATACTAGGGCAGAACGCAGGACCGGGGTAGTTAGAGTTATCGGCCCAGCGAACGTTACGCAACTCCTTCGAGAGCACTTCTCGATGCGGAACTCTCGCGCTCTTATTGTTGAGTGACGGGTGACCCATTTTCTTACCGCTCTGAACAGTCCTTTACCTGTTGCTGTCGGCTTAAGTGCGACACCACACCCTCTCCGGCAGTGCCCGTCACGAACGTGTGCGCCGCTTCACAAGGTTGTCTGCCCCGCTTCTCCTGTACCGATGCACTAATCAACGCACGTTCCTCGGGCTAGGCCCGCCCGGCTCCGGGGCAGCCGCGGCGACGGGCACAGCGGCGCAACCGCGAGACCCCGGTGGAGCCGCTGTCGACGAGCTGGGGCGCAGGGGATGGTCGTAGGTGCAGTCGCACGATCAACTGCGGTGATGAACGGAAGCTATTTCAAGAAAGCGACACAGGCAATGGGATTTGCAATGTTGAAATTTTATATACTGGATAAGATTTTTGTGAAAAGAAAAGACTAAATCGAGATGAGAGCTATTGGTACTTATGGAAACCTGAGCCTGAGTCCCTCAAATTTATATTTTCAGTTCAGATTCAGCTTCAGATTGGAACAAATAATAAACATACATGGTACACGTCCGATGTTCCCACACAGGGAACAACGTATTTACAACGAACAACGTACGTAACTGCAACGAACAACTGTGATGGCTTGGGAAAGACTGAAAAACTTCTTCAGATAATTTCATTGTCCTCCTATGTCAGTCAGAGCACCGATGCTAGGCTCGGCGAATTAGTCCTATCAAAACTCTATAGCAATGCTCACTGGTCGCTAAGCGCGCTTAGTCTAAAAAAAAAATGCGCGGATCCAGTACCGCACGGATTGTTCTAATTTTGGTTATGTCCTCGAAAGATAAACGCCTTAAGGAAGTGTCTCATTTTGGGCGGTATATTTCAAAAACATACGCCAGTAAAACCTCAGAACCAGTTACGTCGACTAATAGCTCTGGGTAGTGCCACTGCAGCACCCTCAAGGCATTACACGGATATCAATGTTAATTATTTTCTTGCCCAAACGCCCTGCGGTTCTCGCGACCTCCATCGTCATGACAACTGCCGTGGCACCTTTTCTGGTGGGAAAAAAAAAAGTTTGTGATTGGCCAACCGGTCGGCAATGGTCTGTTACCGAGAAACGCATTGGTCAAGCTTTGAACCAGCGCGCCACTATGGGCCATGCGATGCTCCCCACTATGGTGAATGCCATAAGGGATAAATCAAACCCACCGTATAAAGTTTCGATAAATCAGAGAGATAATAGCTTCATGTTCGCTTACCTTTTTGTCTAAGCAGTGTTTCAAGCTTTCATAGCATTTTTCACGCAAACACTTTGTTGCGTGTTGCAAACATTACAGAACACGCACGTTGGAAAAGGCAAGACAGCTAAAATGTAACACTTTCATAGTGATGAGCAGCGATCTCAGTGAGGTTTTCCCGCAGCAGTGGCTACATCAAACAGTAATTCTGACTTATTCAGACGGATTTCGAGAAAACTAGCATCACTGATTAAGTTGTCTGATTTAATCTAATCTAATGTGATCAACTCACCTGATCTAACAATAAGCGAAAAGTAAAAAAGTTGACATGCTACCTTTAGCCATGGCCCTGACAGGGGTGATCGATGCGACCCCCGCCCCCTTAAGGTGTTTTGTAGTTACTACTCCGGCGTGTCGTGTAATCGCCCCTAAATTTTCAGTGGCCCATCGCGCGTGCTTTGATATAAGAATGTGTCGCTAGCATCTCTGGTGTCGGAGCAGCAGCGGTTTTTGAGGAACACGACGATCTTTGGTCACCGCGGCCGGCGGGCGGCAGCCGATGATGCCGCGGAACGCGCGCGGCGGGCCGACATTGTTACATTAGCGAAGCCATACATCATAAGCATATGGTGAAACCACATCAAACTGTGCGCCATTGTGTACAATGAGCAACGAGCATGCCTGTTTAGGCTTTATGTCGCTGCAAGGCATGGTATCGTATTTATTCGGCTGTAAAGCTGAAAAGGTGCGGTTTCGGGAAACGTTGACCTTTGGCCTGGCATAATGGGGTCAATTTTTTACCCAACAGTGTACAAATTATTAAAAATCACGACATTTCGGCGACACCGATCCCACCATGTTTTTGTTTGCTCTACTTTATTTTCCTTGGTTTGAAAACGCAGCACGTGGGGGTCGCAACGCCCCCCCCCCCCCTCCCTTATCAGTTTGCGTTATGAGAAACGGCGAATCTGGGCGAGGGCTACGTGGTTTTCCTCATGGACGAAACAAGCCACTTAAGTGTTGGTCAAACCATGGAAAAGTTACCTCACAAGCCGGCCGATCTGGCTGTTTCATGCAGCAAAGTTATCCCCGTATCAAGCAGTTTCATAATATGCAATTTCAAAAGTTATTTCGCTTTATGCTTGCTCTGCCCGAACGGCACTGACAAATGAGTCAAACGACTTGGGCTTTGGTCCTTGGCGGGTCCGATAAGACCGGAAGAATTCGTTGGATGTATGATCCTTACGTGTTTCGGAGATTGCGTGGTTATTTATCACTGGGTGAGAAGTTTGCTGCGGAGTGTTGATACGAGCGCTTCGTCGAACTCGAATGTCGAACTCATTACCGATATTCTGGGTGGCGCCAAAGAACAAACAAAAAAATCTGCGGAATCGTACATTTTACTAAGTATTTAGATGTCATGTTATGTGTGGAAAGATTGGCTGTGTGCGATGTAGTCCAGCCCAAAATTTAAACTGAACGAGAATAATAAAATGGCAGGCTCAGATGGTTTCCGTCGGCACAAATGTCTCTAATCTCTAACCTCCATTCCGCAAATATCCATTCCGCAATTCGCATCGTCCATGTCTCTTACTTGCAGAACTTTCCGGCCAGCAAGTGCCAAAAGCCCAAACAGGGAGAGCAGGATCCCATCCCGGTATCCCATCAACGTGGATCCCTATGGGATCCTGGATTCGCCCTCAAGATCCGGGCACGCGTCAGCCTCCGCCCACCACCGCAGTGAATCGTGCGGATGCAACCGCAGCGATCCGTGCTCTCCACCCCGTCGACGGTGGCGCCACCGCCGCTTTCAGCGCGTCGGAACGGCCGCCTCTGCAGCCGCCGGCGGCGCCACCGGCGGCTGCAGCGGTGCCGAGGCCGCGGCCCTGGAGACGGGCCCACTCGGGGCAAGGTGCGTGTCGCGCCCGTCAGTGCAGCGCCACAGGTAGAGCGCGGCGGACCGTCGTGCGGAGTGACGCACACGTTCGCGGCGGCACCAGCGGACCGGGCGAGCTCTCGGGCGCAGCGGGTAACGACTGTCGAGAAACTTTGCCAGGTGAGAGGTTGAAGTCATTTGTCACCCAGCTCCAGGAGAGCGAGATTTCTCCGTTAGAGAGAGAGCAAGTCGCGGATGAATTACGTAACGTTCAAGCTTGCGAAACGTTATTCACCAATTTCTGAGTGTATGTCTGTCTGTCTGCGCACACTTGTTTGGCAAGACTCACGGCGCAGGCGGCTGTATGGATTGCCGTGAAATTTGCACGAACCACGGGCTCAGTCTTCGTGGTGGTCCACGAGAAAAATACCGCCCGCACAATGCTGGTGTTAAATGCAGTGCGTGCGAGAGGGTGATACGTTTTGGCATCCAGCAGGTAGACCCCTTTCGCAAACGTTGGAAAAACAGGCTGCGCAAAGGCCAAGAAGTTGAAAGCATTTTTAGCACATAGTGGGTTTCTGACAGGATTGTAGGCATTATAATCAGAGAAAATTATGATCAGCTTCATGTCATTTGTAATATTTTAGAGAAAAATGAAATACGATCTGTCGCCGTCAAGCCATCTACCGGCTGTAAGCTTTTTCCCTTTTTCTCCAGACACATTTTTAAAGGCATACTCACCCTTGCTTCAGCACTAATAGTTACTGCAGTTCGTGAGATTCACTAATAGTCACTGCAGTTCGTGAGATTCACTAATAGTCACTGCAGTTCGTGATATTACATGTCACGATATCATATTTAAGTCAAACATTTGTCGAATATATGTCATAAGAAGACCAATACATTGGAGCCAGTCCGAGCGATGAGAACAGAATAACTGAAACCTTACACTCTGTTCTAGATGACTCGCACTACATGTTCAGATTACAGTGGAGACAAAACCGCAAACATGTTTTGCCCAACAAATGAAACCAGAGACCAAGGATTTATCATTGTGCCTGGGGTTGGGTTTAAATTTCTGTCATGGAAAGATTCATTAGTTTTAAACTCGGTACGATTTCAGTTAGTTGAAAGAAACTCGACCTGAAAGGCAGCGTATGATTCGGATTTATTAGTTTAGAGTATTGGCATGCCATTGCAAGGCATGCTCATCCAATTGCGTGTCAAGTCTACGTACCCGGGCGTCTCCAAAAGTCCATTGAGCGGACACCTGACTAGTCTGTTGCTCTCCCCTTCGCACGACTTTCAGTCCATAAAGCCTGCATGCTATTTTATGCGCCACGTTTTCTTTAAAGTAAATTATCAGATAAACCTCAATTAAGGGTATGTCAGCGCTGACAATCGCGCAGGTAAAGCGGATTTTTAAAAGCTGAACCCGCAAGGTTTTGTTTCAAGGTGAGCTCGCTGACCCAAACCACTCTGATAGGCGCTTTAGCCCTGCTGCTTATTCCGTTTACCCGTCGAACTGCCGTTCCGTTGACATATGACAGGCGCATATACACTAGCTGGTTATGTTTGGATCTCTGGGTGTTTTTCTGTTTGTAATAGGCAGCCTTGTGTTTGGGGGAAGGGGGGGAGGGGGGACTGTAGTCCTAAGAATGATTGAGGTCGCAAGCTCATTGTTCAATTTTGCTGTTTCAGGTGTGTAAGATGTGGCGTTTGGCATCCGGTTGATCATATTAGGCATGGCTGACCGGGTGTCAAGCGAGGAAAATACGTGTACATGCAAACAAATTCAAGTTACCAGGCATCACGCATTACGCATCAACTATGCATGTCATTGATTCCAATTAAACAGGCATCACGAATCACGCGTCAGGCATCACTCATACGTGTAAACGATTTCAAGTCACCACGCATCACATATCAAGGCACCCGTCACGCTTGCACGGTGGCCATATGAGCCGTGTGCGTTAAGATTTGGTCGCCGACTTTTCATAAAGGTGGATTCACGTATTTCCCTGTCTGATAGTCTTGTGCTCTGTGGATGGTTTTGAGCTCTAAGTGAGGTAAAGGGTCCATACCTACCCAGATTTCAGCCTGAACTTGTTCTGCCAAAAAAGGTCACCGAAAAGGGTATTTCCTTTTTTCGTTTAAGCGTCTCGCAGGTGTTCATTATATCTCAAACGAAAAGGGCGCATGTAATCCCCGACATAGACTATATCTCTCTCATGTGGTTCGCACAGTTTACACTGAATGTCGTTAACCATATTTTTTGTGTGTAAACCCTCTGAAACACAGATTTGCACAAACAGCATCTTTTGCCACCCTATAGGGAATATATGTGTTAAGAATGCGTCGTCTGAAAGGACGTGTCTCCGCCTCCTACGCTCTTCCACGCGCTCTATATTTGTTTCACCTCTTCCAGCATTCTACCCAAAAGTCGGGGAGAACATCCATTGCCACCCTCCCGCTTAAGCTTCGAGACAGAAGGTTTCACCAGACACTTTTTAGCTTATTGTCAATCTCCCAGGCTATCCGTACGCACAGTTTTTATTTTCTAACAATATGTTTGAATTTCTAAAGCAAGTGCTCATCTCTGCAAGGTGGTGTTAAGAATTCTCCGTCCGAAAGGACGTGTTCCCGCCTCCTACCACTTATCCTCCACAGACTGTAGATTTGTTTAGCTCTTCCATAAAAATATGATTGGCAGAGGCGGAGCGCATGGGTCGTCCATTGCCACAGACTCTAAATTTGTGTAGCACTTTACCTAAAAGACGCGGAGAACATAAATTGTCCAACAGCAAAGTCCATATTCCGTTTTCTACTCTTTCCTTCATTTTCACTACTTGAGTTGTTAAGTCCTATGGAACATATTACGTACCACATTGTGCTGAGTGGAAGTTGGATGCGCAGATTCGCGGAGTAGAATTATTCTAGAGTTAATTAGCTTGATAAAAAGCCTCATTTCCAACGTTGCGTGGTTGTTCCTCCTTTCCACCATCACTGGTGTATCAAAATATGGGACCCTTTCCGTCCCCTGTATGTTCCATTGCAAAGGCTTACTTTGGATGCTGGTTGTTCATGAACCTTAAAAATTTATCAAGGGCACTCTGTCTGTTTGTCCATACTCCACCATAATAATCGATGCCCCTAGCTGAGAAGTCGGTTTTAGTGGGCGGACAGATAGCGCCTTAGTTTTAAATTGGTTAAAAAATATGATCGGCAGAGGCGGAGCGCATGGGTCCTCCATTACCACACGCAATGTCGTCATCTCCGAACGAGAAAATATAATTCCGGAGACAATGTCCTAAAAGACCGCAGATGTCCCCTTTCGATAGACCGAAAACATAAATGTCATGGAAATCTACGTCCACGTGTTTTCACTGCATCGATAGCGTCATTGACTGGTATATTGCGATACGAACTGAGGAAAATGCTGCCCTCTGGCAACCCTGCTGCCTGTGAATGATTTTTCAAAAGTATCTGGTGTCCCTCAGACAATTGGGAAAAACCTCAAGAGTTGATTAAGTATTCTTCCTAAAAAGTCGCGAAGTTTCTGCGGTAGGACCACCGCACGCATGTATGACAGGTCTAAGGGGCACTGCAGATTTGTGATCCTTAGGCAGGCAGTTTGTGATCCACATGGTGGCTTGCTTCGTCATTGATTGAATTCAAAAGCATTTGTAGCTGGAGTGGTGATAAACTGTGGGTCCCCATTCGCAGGAGACATCAAGCTGGGTGCAGAAATCGATACATTAAATACTCCCAACATGTGAAAAACTTTACATGGACAATTATTACATGGGTTTCACATGTGTGCGTGTTCACACGTCTGTCTGTCTGTCTCTCTGTCTGTCTGTCTGTCTGTCTGTCTTTCAGTCAGTCAGTCAGCCTGTCTGTCTGTCTGTCTGTCTGTTTTTCTGTCTGTCCGTCTGTCTGTCTCCTGTGCTCATTGCTTAGCCGGTCGTAAAGCGCGGACAGCCGCATGGTTCGCCGTGAAATCTGCATATACGGCAGATTTAACCTTGGTGACGATCCATGACATAAATTCACGGCTGTCCGGTACCGGTGTCAAGCCAGGTGCCCCGTGCACGAGGACGGAATATGTTTCGGCATTAGCAGGAAGACGATTCACGTAGGGGCAGCAGCGAGCAGTTGGCAGGGGCCAAGCTGCCGAAAACTTACCGTACTCCTCGAGCAATAATAAACGTACCGTCGACGATACGCGTACGGATATTGGCTATAAGGGCTTTCTGCTCCTGCTTTTTCGGCGTTACGAGTTCAGAGCTCTTATGCTAAGTTATTGACCTTCATTACAGCAGGAGGTACAGGCAAAACGACTTCACGGAGCAGCCATAGGTTGTAGTGTTGTTGAAAACTGCCAATATAACTAATGTTTGCCCTATAGCGCCATTTAATCAGTACCTTCTGGTATGCTGAGGGCCGATAACTCCGCATAACTCTGGACTCATAACATTGTGAACAGATGCAGGAAATGCAAGCAAAGACAATCTCATGGAGACACGATGTGCGTCATTGCGTGGCGAACGAGTCCTTTGAGGCATGAGGCGGTGCTGTACGGACGCCAGCGACGCTAGGCTCTTTCGCAAGTAAAGCAAGCGGAAGCCACAACTGTGTGACATCTATTCCATGTCCTGAGTGTGTGAAACAGCGTTGCACGGGCTAGATGTCTGATTGACTCGCTTATGGGTCACGATCTATGATCATTTATGGTCCATTCACAGCTCTAGTTTGCACGACTCTCGCGGTACATTAAGATCTGGGTCATCCTGGGCCAACGTTGTGGTGTGTTATACCACAGGATGCGCGTAGGTCAACCCACGTAACACGGATTTACGACGTGACTTACAATGTTTACGACGTGACTTACAATGACAGCCTAATTTCCGGCGTCGGAAATACGGAAATACAAGGCCAACGCACACTTCTCTTTTCCTCCACACCGTCAACAAAAGTGCAATATTGTGAACGGCTTCCCGGTACGTAACATAAGGCTTCTGCTTGTACGAACGGAGGGGCTTCACGAGGGCACCGCTCGCACCGCAAACGCTGGGCCACTCTGGCGTCGGGAACTCACGCAGGCCGTCAAGGCTACACTGCCGACGCATGCTGGTTGCGATGGTGGTCCGTCCTTGAATGGCAATTCATGGGCTCTGGCTGGGCCGGCAGTGAGTTCAAGGTCCCAAGCTCGGAATTACGTCACGGCTTGCAGGGAGTTAGAAGGTGGCGTTGGATATGCAGCCTGCAGCGACAAGGCTACATATCATTGAGTATTGCAGACGATGCAGACACATAGCGCATGCGGTGACTACGTTCTTACCAGTCGTCACATTCAGTGATAACCCGTTGCAATAAGCATTCAATAGACTAAAAGAAATGAGAAAAACATGTTCAGCACACGTGCACATCTTTAAGAAATGTATTCTAACTACATGAATACCGATTGCCTTTCTTCGCAGCACTGTCGTCACCATGCCGGCATCAGCAGGCGATGGGACGGCGCTGATTTTCTCCGTCAACAATCAGCCTCAGCAAGGTGAGCTCCAACGTTGCTGCGCACGCGCTTCAGTCCGCTATGCGGGCCGCTCTCTGCATAGTGCGAGTCATGGAGAGATCGTGGAGTCAGGCCTTTCCGGTATAGCTGGGTCATGATGACGTTGAGTAACTTCCACGCGACGTTCGCCTCCATTTTGTAGCGTGTCTAGAGACGCCTCTGAGTGGTTTGACTATGACTTGGCATTTTTGTCGGTGCGCCCAACGTGCAGAGGTGGAGAGAGAGAGGGGCTAGGCAGAGCGAGAGAAGAAAGGACAGAGGAAGAGGGGGGAGAGAGTCCGTCGCTGTTGTTCATGGTGCATGATTGGGTGCACCTTGCTCGCCTGAGTCAAGACCAGTAATGCAACAATGCCAAGTCATGGTTTGACCATGACTTGACATTTTGTCAGTGCGCCCAACGTGCAGCGGCGGAGAGGGGGGGGGGGGGGGGCTAGGGTGAACGATAGAGGAAAGGTTAGTAAAAGAGAGAAGGGGAGTTGGCCGCTGTTGCTCATGATGCATGATTGGGTACGCACTGCTGGCCTGAGTCAAGACCTGGCGCATAACTAAAGGCTCAGCGAACGGGGCAGGCGGGCGGTGCGTCTCGGTGAGCTTCCTATAAGATCCTGGCACATCGTTCTGTCCATCCTGGTTGCTTCGTTCTTTCTTTCCACACGGCTGCGCTAGAGCGGTCATTCTCTCAGGCTCCATTCCGCGCAAGTCGCGCGCCTGCGAAAGTCAGCTTCACGCCTCAACCCAACTGTGGGAAATGGAACGCCGGCGCTGCCTCCTCAGGACGTACGTTCTGTATTGCCGAAAAAAATATTCGCTGCTGATGTGTACTCACTTCTGTGTGGCATAACGATGCCTTAAAGACAGCCTAGCACAGAATACACATGGATATTACATACATGCATGGGCTACGACGAACAGAGTGCGATAAAAACATCGTTGAAGATGGTAACTGTTCAGCCAAAACATCAGCATAATATGTATGAGCCATAATCGCGTTATTGTTTTTTAAACCTTTGGGACGGCGAGAACACCTGAGGCTTCTACCTGAAATGCTAAGCTAGCGTCTTTTGCGGAAATAATGGAAGCGCTGTTACCAGAGCGTAGACTTTTATGGCACCTGAGTTTTGCCCACAACTAAGTGTCCTATTCGGTTCCAGTTCTAAAACGATCAGCCAATGATGGCGGCGTCACCAGTGACGTCACGTCCACTACGACGCTGGCCGACTACTTACGCCTGCACCAGCAGCTGCCGGGCACCAAGACCATGTGTCGCGAGGGCATGTGCGGAGCCTGTGTCGTCACCGTGACGTCACAGAACCCGGCCACGGGTCAGATGGAGAGTCGTGCCGTTAACTCCTGCATGGTGCCCATCAAGGCCTGCCAGGACTGGCAAATAGAGGTGGGTGCCTACAGCTACGGCATAGATAGCACGCCGCTTACGTTTTACACTCATTTCCAGCTTTTTCGTATCGAATGCTTGGCCGGGGGGAAGTCAAGAAGAAACGCCTCGGCCGTAGCGTGCAGACAGCTATTTGAGTTAAGAACGTCTCCAGGAACACCTGCCCATTGAGGTATACATGCGTCTATCTTGAAATAGACACGGCGATGTTTCCGATTTAGGTCAGCTGAATTGTCGTGAACCTTCGGACGAAGATGATTCTAACCCCGCTATGCTTGGGCACCGGCAGACGGTGGAGGGGATTGGCAATAGGAGGGACGGCTACCACCCGGTGCAGGCTCGCCTAGCGCACATGAACGGCACCCAGTGCGGCTACTGCAGTCCCGGCATGGTCATGTCCATGTACAGGTTCGTATTGCAGCTGGGCATCGATATGGTTGTTCCCGTAAAAGAGGTTACATATGAGCAACTTATCTATACGTTCAAACGGCCACTATAGGCACGGCGTAGCTTTGAATCCTGTGCAGTACGTAAATATTGATATGCTGCAGCCAATATCTAAAGTGACTGAAACGCAAGTATATTTGTCAGGGTTGATTTGGATTCGATTTTCTTCGTCATGAAATCCAAAATTATATGTTGAAATTCAACACCATTACCTGAAGAGAAATAAGCAGGAGAGGAGACGTGAAGCTGGTTATAATACACCGGTTAGTTATTTTAAGTCAAGTTTTAAATGTTAAGTAAGTTTTTAAAGATTTGTATTGAGTAAAGTAATAAGTTTCGTCATAACAGATCAGCGGCGCATCTCACAAAAGAGAGCGAACCGAAAAAGAACTCACGACGATAAACAGCAATCGAAAACCCCCTACGGTCACGTTATAACGACTCCATGTCCACCACGCACCACTAACGAGCGAAAATGCAAGCGGTTCAAGCTCACCGACCTGTCTCAAATACAGAAATGGCTCCCAAACGTCCCACTGATCCCCTTCACCGACAACCAGAGCCGTCGCGCGGTGTGGACGGCCGCGTGTGCGCTGCGTGACGCAGGGCTTTATGTGCCAACCAGCCTGCTGAAGTCGAACGGGAAGGTGTCGCCGGAGGAGGTGGAGCAGGCCATGGACGGCAACCTCTGCCGCTGCACCGGCTACAGGCCCATCCTGGACGCCTTCAAGACCTTCGACAAGGACGCCGACGACAAGACCAAACGCCTTGTCGCGGACATCGAGGTAAGCACAGCGCGTCCTGCGGGAAGGAAATGTTCCGCGCTCGCTGTGTGCTTAGCCATGCTTGTTGATTTTGCCACGTTTGTTATCCAGGGAGGTGGCTGTAGCTGCCAGCAAGCTGGAAAAGCGGATTTCGTCAAGATGTTTTCGCTATTTGTATGAAAAATATTTTACAACACTATATATATATATATATATATATATATATATATATATATATGTAGGGTACGTAGTTTATCATTTGGTTGTTTACAATGACATATAGCTTCTGAAATTTATTCACAGTCGAACAACCAACGGTTTTTGTACGTGTGCCACTAGGCGAATAATGTTATCAACTAAGCATGCAACGAATGATACCATTGTCGAGTGGGTGACAAAAATAGCTGAATCTCTCCCAATTACCATACAGCTGACTCGTCTAACTGATTGACCTTACCCTACCGGCTGTCGCTGACCTTTTCACCTACCCCTGTGGATCGCGGCCCTGACCGACCCCTCTGACCCCGGCTGACCGCAGGAGACAGCCGGCTGTCATGGCCGCTCTGGCGGCTCTTGTCAGCCGACCGTGGCCTGCGCCGGCTGCCCCCGTGCGGCCGCCCTGACTTCGGCCAAGGACGACTGGCGCCTGCCCACCACCCTGCAGCAGGCTCTGAGTGACCTCTCCAACATGACGGTGGGCGACAAGAGCGTGCGCCTCGTGGCTGGCAACACCTCCATGGTGAGGAGCTCCCTCCCGTGGCCGGCAAATGGGGTCATCATGCTTTCCTTCGCTGGGCCTTCGCAGGTTCAGCGCCTTAGCGCGTGTGTGGTGTGGGGTGTGGTGCTCGGTAACTGTCATCGCTTATCAAACGGCTCGCTCTCCAATATCGAGTTACATGATAACGCGTGCGTTCGGTCTTGAGTCTTCGGTACACACACGGGCGATATGCCCTGATTCTCTAACTTGACGCGTAATGGCCGCGATATCCGTCGGTATGGATTCAGCTCTTATTCTGCATACCTATTATTTTGATTAGTTCTGGAGATTGTGTGCATCCAAGTGAAAGATCACTTCATTAAAATGGGATAAAATTTGGACTGACTTTTGGAACTACACACCACGATCAGCCGGGAGCACTCTGTTGGAGGCCTAGTGTTAATATTGTCCCGCGTATTGCATTCAACACGAAACGCTATACATGAAAAAAAAATATTACGTTCAGAGGCATCATTGACGTTATTTGTTTTGATTTAGATCTCGTTTTAGAGCTTGTTTGGCCTGTACAGACAGCTGCAAAACCATGAGATTAAGAAGAGAGGTCAGTTTGGTGACCCCCGTGGTCTGGAGGAAAGCTGCCGGGTCCTTTTTCAGCGACACGTGGAATGAGCCTTAAAGTGAACGCGTTACACGCTGCATCTGTCATTAAAGGCTAGTTGGCAACTGGCCAACGAGGCTTAACTCGGGCCAGGGTTTCCCTGCGTTTTGTGTTGCGTGGTATATAAAACCCTATGTACTCTTGTTTGGCGAAATGGTGAATCCCAAATTGCTCGCTGCACTGGGTGGCACGACTTTTCGCAACAAATTCGCAATAAAGCTCGGGTTTCGCAATAATTTTTGCTCGGCAAGTATGATGGGGCCAAAGCCCCGCATGCAAGCCAGTTGTAAAAATCCTTATAGCGAAGAGTGTGGGGCCACACTGCAGCCACCCTTCATTGAGGAGAACCTGGGACTTACAGCCTCAGGAAGCGCTGCTGTACGAAAACCTGGGATGTCGTTGTCTGGGCTGAACTGGAGGCCGACGCCAGACCATGTCTGAGTCAAGTCAATAGAGTACGGAGGATACTTTGGCTTGGCTAGAGCTTTTCCGGCAAGCCATGACGCCTTCAGAGCTATGGGATTCAGGAAAGGTGTGCGTGGTTGGGCAATACTACGGCCATCTTGAAAATGTATGCTACCAAACCTTGTCCTTGTCCAAACCTTGCTTCGGGGCTTGTGCGTGTGTTCAGATCGGGGTCGTGGCCAGGGAAGACACGAGACTGACTCTTGACTGATGGCCGCAGCACGCTTCTGGTGAGACGGGCCGTTACAGGGGTTCACTGCGTGGTGGTGAGTGGGAAGACAGTGTGGGGGACTTGGGACACATAACCTTGTTCAGTGTCCATCTCGCTAACTAGCGGTGCTTCCTGAAGTGATGTAACACCGCTGCCGTGTCCCCTAGGCGTTCTCGACAAGTACGACGCCCCGTCTGACGGCTACATCTCTCTGCTGAAAATCCCCGAACTCCGCGCCATCAAGCGGCCGGCGAACGGCAGCAACTGCCGAATTATCCACGACGCTCCCCGAGCCGTGTTCGGCGCGGCCGTCACCCTCTCTGAGCTGATCGAAGAACTAAAGCTGTTGAGTAAGACCGCCGGGTACCGCCACTGTGCCGAGATGGTCAAGCATCTCCAGCTGGTGGCCAACACTCCGGTGAGGAACGCCGGCACCTGGGCCGGCAACCTGATGATCAAGTACCAGCACAGG